ACATTTAATCAATTCTGTACGTGTAATTCAGTAGCATGCAAAGGGGACATATCCATAGTGTCCTGAATTGCAGTGGAGACAAAATATCGAAAAGCACAAAATAAAACCACACAAAAGTTCCTACATTTTCAGTATCCAGCAGATTTACATGTACGGTTCTTAGGCCACACCTAATTTAATTTCTTGGTTAACGGATTTTACCTAAGAAAAATAATGGAGCGGGACGGGACGAAAAAAAATAAAACAGGCCTAGGCATCCTATTATGGCCCAAAATGGTACGATAGGAGCCATGAAGTCAACACACCAGGCTGGTTCAAAATTTAAATAATGAATTTTGAACTTTTAATGATACCATTGCATTGAAAGATGGAAAAACTGTAACAACTAGGATGAAAAGGTCTGTTTTCAACTGTTCAGGGCAAAATATGAGCATTTTGCAGTTGATTCGGGATTTTTATTTTTATTTGCAAATCAGAAGAAAATGAAGCGGCGAATCCGTTAACCAAGAAATTAAATTGGTGTGGCCTAATGGTATATTTTTTTATGCCAGGCAATCTTTGGGTGGCAAATGGATACTGCCATGCCGAGATGATACTTCCTTGCTTTCATTTCTTCTCTCTCATATACTAGTACCACAAGCAAACTTGAAACATGCCTTTCTGAGAAAACCTTGAAGAAAGTTGGTGCTTAGATGATGTGAAAGAAATCCTGTTACCAACCCTCCCACCACATGCCAAATCCTAACTGCTGAGTCACATTTTGACAAGAAAATAACACTTAACTTTAGTTCTTTGGAGGCTTAGATTGTCATGACATGAATTGTCTTCTGCTAGCTTGGGAATGATCGAAGCCTCATTGAAGAAGCTTTTAAATGCAGTTCAAAAGATTTTCAATGCAGTTGGAGTTTTTCTAACTTCAGTTGTTATATATTGAGTTTATTGACTTCGTTCACAATTCAGTAAAATACATGGCAGCTTCATTTGTGTACAAAGATGCTGAATTGCGCATTTTACATGATTAACATGATAACAAATCAATATCTATATTACAAGATCAACATGATAACAAATTAAAAAACTAGTAAACAACGACATTATGATGATAACATTATAAGGAATTGTAAAGGTTCTTAATAAGCTGTAATAATTGATGTAATAATTGACACTTAACTTGGAGATTTTAACAGGTATATTTGTTCAAGAGGTAAGTGAAGTACGGGATAGGGCTGTTTTTGTAACGGTTAGTTTTTGTTCTGACCCATTAGTTGAAGATTGTCCAAGGCTATGACGTCTTACCCTCCACGAAGTCGAGTTTCTTCAGCATGTCCTGCGCCTCCTTAAAGTCCACCAGACAGTGTTCAAACTCCTCATCCACACAGGGAGTCAGCTCCTCACTCTCAGCACCCAGCGTTAGCCTGGGGGTGAGCAGAAGTTGGTTTATTTCAGAAAATACCTGCTGACCAGAGGGTTTGTCCATTCTGTCCAGAATTAATAGAAGACGAATACCACTTTTTGATTGTTTGTCCCAAATATTCTGATACTGAATATAGGACAGTATTTTAAAGAATGTCTAAACGTAAGAAATTCTTTTAATGATTGTATAAGCGCCTTTTCATCCCATATCACCTAGTATTGTACTACGTAGACTGATTTGTTAGATTTGTTCTCTCATTTCTGCCATACTTTGTACCTTGTACATTGTTGCGTAATAAAAGTCATATGTCATACTTGGTCACTATAAGTATTGATTTCGGTGTTCTGGCTCATGTGGCAACTAGCCTTATCACACAGGCTTCTAAAGTTTCCGTGGAAAAAAACACACATGCATGTCTTTTGACAATTCAAATACCGTAGATACCAAAGTTTTGTCACATTTTGCACTGCAATGTGTGTTTTCTCACTATCTAACCTACCCCAGCTTCCTCAGTAGTATACGATGGCTTAAGTTATGATAGTAGTCAGTTTCTAACCTGTACTGTTATGTATTTAAAACCTGTTACTCACCTTTCTGCCATTTCATTCGCAGCCTGTTGAGACAAAAAGAAGTGTATGTTAAAATTCAGTCAAAATACATAGTTGGAAAACATTGAATACAGTCTGTCAGGGTTTCAAACCCAAAACTTTCATCATGCCCGTAGCCAGGGGGGTTCATGCCCGTAGCCAGGGGGGGGTTCGGGAGGTTGGAAGAACCCCCCCAAACACACACACACACACTTTTTATTTAAAGGTGCCAGACTAATTTGTTTCACAATTGGCACTGGAATTCTACTTGTCTCTGATTTTTCCTTTGAAATCCTTTCAAAAACGAAGAAAATGCCATTTCAGAAGGTTCAATTTTCAAAGCAAAATCCTGGCTTTGGGGCTGGATATAATACCACAAAATATTTACAACTCCCTTTTGCCTGTTCATGCATCTCACAGTCATAATACCAGATCTTCTGCACATAACTTTAGATTACCAATACCTAAGTCCAATTATAGCAGAAAACGCTCATTCCTGTATCGTGCAGTCGTGCTCTGGAACGATCTACCATCTGACGTTAAGACACTGTGCGATGTTATCAATTTTAAGAAAGCCGTTTCAAACAGTAGTAGTGTCACCTGATCCTTGACCCTTGCTCGCTACTTTTAAACTGTTAATATCTAATATGTGTATTTATTGTTGATGTGGTGTACATGTATGTATGTATGTATTTTTAAATGTTTCTACTATGTTGTAATTATGTAATTATGTAATTGTTTGAGCCTTGGAAGATTAGCCCTTCGGGGCTAAAAGGTTTCGAAATAAATGAAATGAAATGTGTGCAGTGATCTCCGTACCTCCACAAACCGTGTGGGCTCCTCCTCCTTCATCAGCACCTCCGCATCCCTCACCAGCCCGGCAACGCGCCCCTTCTCCTCCTCACACCTGGGGTTTGGGTTTATTGGCAATGATACATGTCATTTGTTTAAGGCCACACCAATTTAATTTGTTGGTTCTCTGATTTTTTCGGAAAAAATATGAAGCGACAGGGCAAAAAAAAATAAAAATAACAAGAGTTCCACGATCTCATACCTTCGCCAAATGATGTTAACCCTTGCGGTTGAAGAATTATACAATTTTAATAATTGATTTTACAAATAAGATCCTCATTTGCATGGGTTATATCAGTTGATCATATTCTCCACCCAATGACAGTCTTATCTTAACAAAAAGGCTATTATAGCACTTCCTCATAAATTATGCAAATGAGGTCATGATTTGAATAAATTATGTTTATTGATGTTTGCCTTCACTTAACTTCCAAATGTGGCAAGTATGAAATTCCCAGCAGTTACAACAATAAAATTATAAAGATTTTCCATTAATTATGCAAATTAGGTCTTCATTTACATAATCTATATCCTCAGTATTTTTTTTCATTCTCAATTACATTTAACAAGTGTTTCATAGTCCTATTATCGAACAATGCAGAGTTTTAGAATTTCCTCATTAATTATGCAAATTAGCTCCTGATTTGCATAATTATCATTTGATTATGTCAAGCATCACTTCAGCTACCTACATACCAAAAATCATGACAATCCGTCACCCGGTTCCTTAGTTATCATCCTTCGAAAAATTTTCAACAAATGCTCCTGCAGTTCCAGAACAAGCCGCTAGGGGGCCCAAACTTATGTCACTTCTTCCCTACTCCAAGAGCTATCTACCAACCAAAATTCGTGACCCTAGCATGTACAGATCGCGAGATATCAAAACCGGAAGTTCTGCTGCAGTACCAACAGAAGCCGCCAGGGGACCCAAAATCTAATCATTTCTAGCTCTCATGAAGACCTACTCACCTACCAAGTTTCATGACAATGCATACTAAGCTTCTTGAGTTATGCTGTTCACAGACAGACAGACAGACAGACAGACGGACAAACGCTACTGAAAACATAACCTTCTTGGCGAAGGTAAAAACAGGCCTAGGCATCCTATTATAGCCCCAAATGCTTTGATTGGAGCCATGAAGTCAACACAAAAGGCTGGGATAAAATTTGAAACAATGAATTTTGAACTTTTAACCAAACCACTGCATTAAAAGATTGAAAAACTGTAAGAACTAGGAAGAAAAGGACTTTCCTCAACTGTTGGGAGCAAAATATGAGCATTTTTTAGTTGATTCTGAACCAGAATCTTTTTTTTTTTTTTTTTGCAAATCAGAAAAAAATGAAGAGGCGAATCCGAGAACCAACAAATTAAATTGGTGTGGCCTAAAGTTAAAACTTTTGATCCAATACCAAAAACTCTCTCACCTAGAGCTCTCACCCTTCATTGAACCACGACGGGGGCCGACATCGTCTACCAGATACCTTTGACCCAGTGTTGACGTCACACTTCAAAGAAGCCACGTGACAAGCCTCACTGGGTCAGTCTACTGAGGAAGACTCAGAGTGACTGGTCGAAAGCTCTAGGTGAGAGAATTTTTGGTGTTGGATCAAAGGTTTTTACTTTAAACATGTAACTACCAACACAGATGAACTTTCATGATGATACATGTCATTACTTGGTCAGCACAGGCAGACTCAGCTGGTAACTGCTGACTCACAAAAAGTACAGACACAAGACGTAATACAAAACAAAGGTATCTTCAATGTTTACAAACTCTCTGAATGTTATATCTGTATCTGTATAGCCGATATAACCGCCCTTTGGTATTAAACACCAGCTTCTATATCTGTATAGCCGGTATAACCGCCCTTTGGTATAACACACCAGCTTCTGTATCTGTATAGCCGGTATAACCGCCATTTGGGATATCACACCAGCTTTGCAGGGACGTGGCGCGCCGGCAGCTGGCTACATTACACTGAACGACTTGTACGACTAGAACCCTTGAACTTCTAACTCTAGACATTGTTTACACTGTACTTGGTGACAGCGAGTTCCACTCTGCGATAGTTCTAGGTTTTTGAACACCTCAATCCTTGCTTGATAACTCTGGTACTTGAAGGCATGACTACTTCTTTTCTGATCTGGTATTAGGTACTTGGTAGTTGGTACGTCCACCAGTTTATTAGTTGTGTGTATGGTTCAAAAATGTTGAAGAAATTGCCAAAAGAAGGATGGTTTCCCACCTGGCGACCTGGCCGCTGAGCGAGGCCAGCTTCTCCTCCTTCTCCACCTCCAGTTTGTCGTACAGGGTCGACTGCCGCTTGGAGATGATGGAGAACAGGGCCAGGGTCTCACGGCGTACCATGTCCTTGTGCTGCGAACACTTGTCCTGTAAAACACACACACACACTTTTTACTCAAGACCAGACTGTAAGGTTTGATGGAGAACAGGGCTAGGGTCTAACGGCGTACCATGTCCTTGTGCTGCGAACACTTGTCCTGTAAAACACACACACACACTTTTTATTCAAGACCAGACTGTAAGGTTTGATGGAGAACAGGGCTAGGGTCTCTCGGCGTACCATGTCGTACCATGGTGGGATCTTTAACATGCTCTAAGTGTGGCTCTCCTCAAATATGAGGGACCACTAACTGAGGTGAAACATGATGCTTTTTTGAGTACATATGCCTCATAGTGCAATGCGGCTTCGCTACAGCTCGTATTTATACCCAACCACAGTTCCAATTAGTGATGCATACCGGTTCACTGGACTTGGATCCGGACTTGTAAGAATGCTTAGGTTCAAGTCCAAAAAAGCCTAAAAGTTAAGAACCAAGTCCGGACTTATTACCATAAAAGACCATTTCACATACCCCTTTTCTTTTCAAACCACCTAAAACCTTCCGTAGATTCCCAAATCTTTGCTGCGAAATGAAGGAAACATTGCCATCAGGCATCGTCAAGTGCAGGCTTCCATGTTAGTACAGGCTTCCATGTTATGTGGCCAAAGTTTCACCCAGACAACATTGCAAGGTTGCCAACATGCAATGTTGTATATGCCATGGGTTTAGGTCCGGACTTACAAAACCTCTGGACTTGAATCCGGACCTGAACCTAAAATTGGGTTTAGGTATGCACCACTAGTTCCAATACATTCACGAAAACCCAAAACACTTCCCGGAGGTCTGAAGCTTCTGATTCCATGTTACCGGTACAATTGGAAATCTTTAGAATGATACAATCATAGAGTTAAAGTACAAATGTACTACTGGTACCACATCTTGTAATGTATTATAAGAGCACATGTAGTCTTACTAACTGGTCTTACAAGTTACCACAATACAGTAGTATAAAGTCTTTCATGTTACAATTGTGAAATGGAAATCTTTAAAATGATACCATCATGGAGTTAAAGTACAAATGTACTAACATGTCTTTTACAGTATATCCTAGTCTGATATTGAAGTCTTGCCATTATCCTTGAGGCCTCGATATCGATTTCCTAAGCCTACAGTGGTTCCAACATGCGTGTGAAACGTTATCTTACCTCCACAGACTTGGAGAGAGTCTTGTTCTCCTGGATGAACCTGTCCAGCTGGTGACTGCGGTCCTCTAGCAGCTGCACCTTGCCCTGCAGCATGCCCTGGTGTGGAGACAAGGTATCTGTATCATAATCTGTATCTGGAAAGCCAGTAACTACCTTTCAGCATTACACATCTGTCAGCTACTTAATCTTTACAGCATGGTATAACACACCGGCTTCTGTATCTGTATCAGTGTATACTATAGCCGGCATAACATGGTGCAACACACCAGCTTTTGTATCTAAACAGCTGGTATAACCGCCCTTCAGTGTAACACATTAGTATCTGTATCTGGAAAGCCAGTAACTACCTTTCAGCATTACACATCAGCTACTTTATCTTTACAGCTGGTATAACACACCGGCTTCTGTATCTGTATCTGTATACTATAGGCTAGCCGGCATAACATGGTGCAACACACCAGCTTCTGTATCTGTATACTATAGGCTAGCCGGCATAACATGGTGCAACACACCAGCTTCTGTATCTAAACAGCTGGTATAACCGCCCTTCAGTGTAACACATTAGTGTCTATATCTGTATCTGTATAGCTAGTGTAACTGTCCTTCAGCATTGCACATCAGCTTCTATATCTGTATAGCCGGTATAACTGCCCTGCAGCATGTCCTGGTGGAGACAAGGTAGCACCAAGGTTTAACAGATCTACTCAACATATAGTACCATCTTTATATCTATCTGTAGTGTCCTACAGTATAGCCTGTATAACTGCCCACTGGCATAACACAATAGCAAAGTAGTAGCACCAAGGTTTAGGTCTTGTCTTGTCTTGGTATCTGTATAGCTGTAACTGTTATAACCACTCTTTTGGAATACCACATCAGCTTCTACAATGTATATCTGTATAGCCAATATACCTGCCCTTTGGTGTAACACACCAGCTTCTATATCTGTGTAGCTGGTATAACAGCCCTTTGGTGTAACATACCAACAAACTAGAACCCTTAGTTTTAACAGATCTACTCAACAAAGTGCCTTCAAGTGAAAAAAATAGATATTAAGTTTTACATCACAATGCCCTGGTGGAGACAGAGTACAAAACATGTATATCACTATATATCATCTGTATCACACCAGCTTCTGTATCTATCTGTGTAGCCAGTATAACCACCCTCTGGTGTTAGATCCCAGCTTATGTATCTGGCCTGGTAGCACCAAGGTATAAATTATAATGTCCTTGGTTCAACAGATCTACTCAACAAGGTATCACTACCAGTTCCAATGTGATCATAGTGCCCTGGTGGAGACAATATGTCTTTATCTGCATCTATACAGCCGGTATTAGTATAACTGCCCTTTGTCATAACACACCCGCTTCTATATCTGTATGGCCGGTATAACCCGATCACTGGTGTAACAGTAACAGCTTCTGTATCTGTTTGGCCAGTACGACTGTCCTTCGGTGTAACACATCAGCTTCTGTATCTGTACGTGTATTGTATAGCTCAGGTATAACTGGAGTTTATGTATAACCCACTCCTATCTATACTAGCAACAGGTAAAACAGAAACATCTGATAGTGGCCACCAATTCCTGGGGGGAAAAAACAGTTAACGTTCTGTCTGGACTGACATTGATATCTAGATATTGAGACGACCCATAGCCCCTTTACTGTAAGTTTGACATGTATGTCGTCACTATGACTCATGCAGGCTGTCATCAGTTGTCAAATACTATGCTGTGACCTTTCCCAAGGTTTCTTCCCTGAAATTTGCATACCATATCTCCAAGGCGCTTCTGTACCATAAATCGTTAGATAAGATAACAGATTGTTAAACAGCTGGACTGAAGATGCTACAAAGATTTCAGGGACATGACTGTAGCCATCTGTTTTTATGACCACGTCGATATCGGTTTCAGTAGTGAATTGTGTGCTGTCGTTCTTTCTCTTATTGTAGCAGTGTGAAAAAAAAGCATTGTTGTCTGTACCAGCACAATTGAATCCTGTTTTGCGTGTGTGTGCATGTGCGTGCGTGTGTGTGCGTGTGTATGTGTGCACGTGTGTGTGTGCACGTGTGTGTGGAACAATTGACTGGTAGGGGCAAAGCACAATTTGTTTCCTAGCCTGGGTACCATCCGATTTACACTCTCTCGCCCCAGAAATTATACAAAACTGTCTCCAGAGTCCAGACAATTTTTTTCGGACGAGCGAGTGCAAATAGGATGGCACCCAGGCCATTGTATTGTCCCCTGCCTCTCTATCTGTATCTGTATCTGTATAGCCGGTATAACCGCTCTTCAGCGTAATACACCAGCTGCTGTTTCTGCATTCTGTATAGCCAGTATAACCACACATTGTACCCAAAAAGTAGTCCTTTTTTTTCCACTGCCAACGTGCAATATTAAAGACATGACGATTAAAAATAATCTCAAGACTTTGAAAAAAATATTCGCTGCCTTGGGGTAATCATTCCCAGCAATTGGAACAAGCAAGGGTAACCCTTCAAACTGTGAATCCACCTTGAGACGTCTGCCTTTTTATATTTCACAAACAGGAAGATGATAAGATTCTTAAGACCACCTGAGAACAATGTGGCTAAGGACAGACCCCGACAGAGCTAATGTTAATGTCAATGTTCAGCCCCCGGTACCGAAATAGAAGGTTTGTGGCTGCGAGGGATACGCCGAGAGATCACAAAACGCCAGAAATACAACAACAGCCTTGGTTCAAACTTGTCGACCTTGAAGGGCAGGAAGCAGCGACCTTGGGTCAAGATGCGGGTAAGGTTACCTTTTATCAAGCAAACAGGAAACAAACATTGTTGCCCAAGATGCTTCATTACATATGATATGCATATATTATGCACATGATTATCAACCCAGAAAAGTAGTTTAATAGCTAAGAAGGCTTATGAATGGTATTCCTTTATCTCATAGTGAAATGTTTGAAATTGTGATGTTTTCTTTTGTCTCCTGAATGAATACCCTTCTGAAAGAAAAAAAAATCTAGGGAAAACAATGCTCTCCCCATCCACAAGCAAATGGATATTGCTGAAAGTTCCTACTGTTTTTTGTTGTTGTTTTTTTTGTAAATGTCCTGACATCATAAAAATATTTATCATCTGATAGCAACTGCAATAACATTTCCAGAAAAGTTGTCACTCCACTATACAAAAGGCCATCATAAGAAAAGGCTTTAACGATAAGGAACAGGCAATCATTCTTCAATTCTGTTGATGTTGTCTTCACCCAGTTAAAAAGCCTCAGAGTTGCAATACAGACTATCTTGATGCTAAAATAACCAAATGAACCAAGTTAAATTTCCATAAACTGGATAGTGGAAAGATTCTTGCCACCCTTTCACAATCCCCAAAATCAACAATGATACATCCCCTGTAAAAACAATCGGGGTGATAAAATCATAAAATGATCAACTGTACAAAACTAGAAAACTTACAAAGCTTTAACACAAGCATTTGAAGTAGTCTACACCACAAGTTAGGGCTGTCTGTGCAAAAACATGATAGTTCCTTTGTTCTGGCCTCTGTTCACTAACACATAACAAAACCACCTGTAGCCAACAATGGAGACAACACGCGGACCACCAAAAAAAGGCTGTAGGCAGAACATTACAGCATAGCCTCTTAGAAATGCAGTTAACAGCGACAAGACGATTTGTGATGATTTCATCGTGTCTGTACTTAGTGCATTATATTACATGACCATCCGCCCGAACCCTAACATGTAATATGGACGGTCCCCGCCCGAAGGCTGCTCCATTGTCTTTGTGTTTATGATGTATGGCGGTTCATTTGGAATTACAAAATCGATTGGCACAATTGGCTGCCGACAGTGGATGGGAAAAATCGCTCGGATGAGATTAAATTTCCAGACCGTGTATAAAAATCGTTACCTTTTTGTCGGCCAGGACGTTTTTGAGCTCCTGCACCTCGCATTCTTTGTGTTCCCCCACCAACTTGCACAGAGCGCAGATCGCCTTCTCGTGCGAGGAACAGTACAAGCTCGGTCTCTCGTCCTCGTGTTCAGCGCACACCACCTTCTTCTTGATCTGGGCGGCGACTTCTCTGTAACTATCCACGATGTTTTCCACCAGGATATTCCGCTTCAAGCCGTCGATCCCCCTTCGGCCGAGATAGGTGCACTGACGGCACTGCGGGCAAGGGAAGGCCGAGGGACGCCCTGGCCCTCCGCGGTATCCCTCGTCGTCCTCGTCCTGTGTGTAGACGATATTCTGCACGCACTGCCTGCAGAGGTTGTGCTGGCAGGGTAACATCAACACGGGCTTGGTGTAGACGTCCAAACAGACCGGGCAGTGAAGATCTCGCTCGAGAGATTCCATTTTTTTTCCGCAGCCCCAGTTTTTGTTGATGTTTTTCTCTCGCCCAAGATGGCTGCCACTGGAGCGTACCATCCTGGGTCGAGGGGGGAAGGTTGCAGACAAAGGACCGCCCGAAAGCGCCATCAATGGGTTATGCTGAGAACTGCAGTGGGCAGAACGTACGTTTCCAATGGGGATATAACGTTACTGTAGTCAAGGACATTGTATAGGATTTCCGTGTTGTAGTCAAGTTTTGCAACTTCATTTTATCGCATTTGTGCGAAGCAACGCACAATTTCATCTGTACTGCAAAAAGTTATCTTATGTGGCAACAGTAGTTTGAGAGAAACAATAAAACCATGTTTAATCATATAAAAGTTAATGTTACATTGTAGTAAAGAGGTATTTAAAGCAGATTTTGAAGAAAGAAACAGTAAAAACTAACAAATTTAGGAAACTTTCAGTAGCAGGTAGATGCAACATTATACTAACGTTAGTACTATATTGAAATGTCTTTGTCTATCAGACTTTTAAAATGATGGGATCTACAAATACAAAGTTAATTCATGTGTTTCTGTTATCTTTCTTGAATATGTGTTTGTTTTTTATGGTTATTTATTCATCTATTCTTTACTTTAGACTCTGATTCCACCAGGTGTCTGTAGTGAAATGTCCTTGGGGACATGTTGGCCCAGGAGCCAACCTGTATACTGGCCCTGGATCAGTCTGGCATGCAGGCTAAAAGAACTGGAGCACTGGAGGTTGTTTCCCTTTCCCATCTTTAATATGTATACTTAGTTAAGTTGTATTACACTGAGACGATCTCTCTTAGAGCCTTGCTAACTCTTAGAGTTTTGCTAGCCTCTACCAGGCTTCAGAAGTGGCTGCAAGAAAAGAGTTGTAGTTAGCCAAATAGACAGATAACATGCCAGGGGACTACAGTTTGGGATGGACCAGCTCCCCTGGCATGTTATCTGTCAGGATGCCAGACCAAAAGCACACTGGACACAAAATATCTCAGTGTGCACACTGAGATATTTTGTGTCCAGTGTGCTTTGGGTCTGCATCTGGCATCCAGGCAAGTTATCTGTCTATTTGGCCAACTTCTTTTCTTTCCAGCTACTTCTGAAGCCTGGTAGAAGTATGGTATCACATAGGCTGCTACTATTAAAGGGCCTTAAAGCTCCCATGAAGATGTGGCAAGTCTGGACCTGCTCTGACCAGCGTAAATCCAATTGTCCTGGCCTGTCTCCTGCTCCGCCACAGTTCTCTGGGAAACTCTGATGACAAACTCAAGCGTACAGTGGAAGGTCATGAGAAAGGCAGGGTGGCGGGAATGAGGTGTGACTGGGCACAGTCTTGACTTTACCCGCTGATTTCAAAGACGCAGATTTATGGGGCACCTGAGAGTATTGTCTGGGCCAAAGGCCGATGGGAAGTACTTGATCTTTGGTGTTAACAGATCAAGCTTGAAGGGTTGACCCTGCAAAACAAGCCCCCCTGTGGCAAGACTATAGGCTAATATATCCAAACAGATCTTTTGGTGGCTACAAGACATTATCACATTTGCCAGGCAGTTACCTGCATTTGCCACTCATAAAAGAAAGATTACCAGTACAAAAAGAAAGCCTGATAAAAATGCCTAAAAACACGTTAAAAGATGCCAAAGCCTAGACCTCTGCTTGGAGAGTAGCTAAGTGCACAATTTTAGTCAGGCTACTAATCTCCAAGCAGATCTTACGGTGGCTATATCAAATTGGCAAGGCAATATCGAATATGCCACCATTTGGTTGGTGAAAAAAGAAGATACTGGTACATGTACAAAAAAAGCTGTATAAGAAAACAGATAAAACACCTAAACAAGTAAAAAATATTAAAGCTAAGCCTAAAGCCTAACCATCTGCTGGAGGCAGTGTTGCACAATCTTTCCTAGTGTCTCTAGCAGGCAGCTAAGTGCACAATTGAAGTCAGACTATGGCTACATGGTCCCTACATGGTACATACTAAGTATGATATCATTGCATGGAGACCAAACGCTAGCAATAGCAATGCTAACACACTTCTGCAGCAAGCTGCCTGTCAGGCAGTGTTTTACTATCCTCTGTGGGAGGCTTATGGGATTAGTGCCAGGTTTCCTGTACATGACATCAAGTCTATAAATCATGACAAGTGCTTTCTGAAATGTCTACCTCAGCATCTTACCACCAAGACGTTAGTGGTTTATCCTACTCTCCAAGCAGAGGTTTGGATTTTGGGTCATTTTTAGTATGTTTTTAGTTTTTTTTATCGGGTTTTCTCTTTTGCACTGAATTTTTTTCCCACCAAACTCTAGGTTTGTTGTATTACTCTGGGTTTGGTGGGAAAAAAATTGAGTGTTTCTACCTTTAACAAGAGTCACTGATTGAGGACTATACTACTTACTATATTTTTTACATAGCAAAGTACAAGCTGCAGTGTAGGGTGCCTCTACCAATGCATTTAATACAGGATGGTAAAAAGTATTCCTACTGAATAAAGTATTCTTTCACACAAAAACTTCGCTGATAAAAATACATGTGTACACATCAACATTGCATAAGTGTACTGCTTGACCTTATTATATATATATATATATAATAACAATAGCATGTGGTTGTCTGTTATGCTACAAACAAACCATACAATTCTTTTAATTAATAAAAACAAAGAGCATTAAAGATGAATCTATACATCAAGACATTGAGATACTCTCAAAATACACAGGACATAAGATAAAAGCAGCAGCATAGTTTTACAATATTACAATAGTATTTAAAACAATATATCACACATGTAGTATACTTTATCAAAAGCAATTAGGTAGAAATAAAAAAAAAAATTTCCAAATTTTGAGGTATAACACTGGTAGGGCTAGGGTATGTCACAAGTTCACTTGTGCATTGTACTTGTAGTGCTGACTTGTTGAATTGTAGCTGTCGGATATTACCTGGAACGTCTGCCAGTTTTCAAGTCTATCCAGCTGCTTGACTATTAACCATTTTCTTGTGTATCTCATTACCTGGATGTCCAACCTTGATCGACAGGCAAAGAGTTTGCAATAAAGTCTGATTGTTTTTACTATCAGTAGCATGCGTAGTCCAGTGGTTAGTAACCCTGCCTCTGGACCAGGAGGTTATGAATTCAAATCCCAGCTGTTGTTGCGCACCCGAAATGCACGCTACTGGAAAGGGTTGCAGTCCCTATGACGGGACGTTAAGCTGTGGTCCACTGTTCACTGTGCTTGTCGAGAAGAGCTTGGGGAATTTCCCCGGTACAATGAACCTGTAAATACTGTACATAGCATCTGTCTTCTTTGTCATGACCAGGGCCCTGGTCATGACCAGTGGGAGACAGGCTGTTCAGTGAGCTAACGCTGGATCGAGATCACTTTTTTAAAATCATTTCACTCATCCAGCCCGACCCATGTATTCAGTCTCCTCATCATGTTGTCCACCCATGCCGGCCAGGGGACGATCGCAGGTTCCTCTGCACCACCCCCCTCCCCCTCCTCCTCCTCCGCCTGTTCAGAACCCTCAGAATGCTGCATACAGAAGGAGGAGGCAATGTCCTGCCGGCACATGGGGCACTGGCGGAAGTGAGCCGCGCACGCGTCGCACACGCAGGCGTGGCGACACGGCAGTAACACTCTGTTGATGGGTCCGTTCTGGCACACCACGCAGTCTTTCCTAACGTCCTCCTCTGTTGTTGAGTCGTCACTGGTTTTGGCTGTGTCGTCTTGTTCTGTCTCCTGGTCTGGTTCGTGCTTGGTCGAAAAGGGTTCGTCCATGGTTTGGTCGGCACTGTCATCCACAGCCATGTATAACCTCTGTGAAAGACAGGTGGCAAAGTAGCATGTTACAATTCATGCTTCTTAAGCACATCGGCAGAACGTACTGTGCTTGCAACAAACCCTGATTTTCACGGTTTTCGCTGGATTTTTGGTCAACATTGCACTTAGGATTTTGCCTGTTGCAGACGATATCTTTTACGTTTACGTAACATGACATTTGGAAAATACAGACGGGATGTTAACCTTATATGAGTCGTTCTGCCGAAGTGATGTGCACAATTCATTACGGGTTTTGTGCAGGTGCAGTACGTTCTGCAGACATGCTTGCTTCATACAAATCTGTCAAAACTGGGGGAAACTGTCATCCACGTCCATGTATAATCTCTGTGAAAGACAGATGGCAAAGTAGCATGGTACACTTTATGCTTCATACATTTCAAAAAAATTTTATTCATAAAAAAAACACATACATGTAGTAGCCAATTGTATGTTTCTGTACACATGGTAATTCTAAAAAGTATATGTATATATGTATGTATGTATGTATGTATGTATATGCATATGCTACTTGTCTATTACATACTTAAACACATTAAGCACAATTAAAATGAATGAGCCAGGTATTTGCAAAATTTCAACGTTCTTCGAAGGTTAACCGTTTTGGCAACAAGTGGATGACGAAAGGTTTGGCTGTGCGTAAGTTTTGCTGTCACAGAGGCCGGTTATACAGAGATATTGTATGTATAATATTTATATATTTACTTATATTTATTGTTTATGTCAGGCTCAATGGCCCATAGAACAGACACACAACATTACACAAACACATCTAAAATAAAACATCTGTGGTCAGATGTTGTAGAGTATGATACATCATACAAGAAAGATCGTCAAAACTGGGGAGACTGTCATCCACAGCTAACTTCTGTGAAGTGTAGAGAGGAAAGTGGCGTCGTGTGGTGTAGTGGTACATCACTGGACTATGAAACGGGGAGACCCGGGTTCGATTCCGGGTCGTACCCGAACAAGTCCGAACATGCGCCCCGACGTTGTACCCTTGGGAAATGTACTTTACACGACTTTCCTCACTTCACTCAGGTGAAAATGAGTACCTAGCTTCGGCTAGGGACGTCCCTCGGATAGGACGTTAAATGGAGGTCCCGTGTTTGGGAGAGCCACACCCACACTTATCGAAAAGAGTAGGGGACCTTCCCGGTGTGAGTGGTTCGAACCTTACAGTCTGGTCTCGGGGTTGACATCTTTGAAAAGGTGATAGTCACCTGTTATGTCAATCCTTCCACAAATGTGGTAAATCTTCATAAATAAATAAGTAGAGAGGAAAGTTGGCATGTTACAAATTTGCCTTGTTTCATTTCTGCATCATTAACATCTGTCAAAACCTAAGAATTAGGCACCTACAGATTATTACAAAATATCTGACCAGTCCTTTGGCTACCCTTTAGTGTTAAGGGACATTGGGTTGCCCATAAATCAGATTCTGTCACATTTTTGGCAAAATTTGTCCAACTTTAGAAACACTTTCCCACCATTGGTCTCAAACAGAGGGACTGCCCCTGTCCCACAGGGTAGAAATAAATCATTTTTCCTGAAGAACTCCTGAAGGCACTGATTTGCGAGGCGTGTAATCTTTTTACCACTCCTTCCACAACCAGAGCTCGAAATTAAAGGTGGTCCAATGGCCAGTGACCACTAAAATTTAGGCTGGGACAACTAAAAAGACACTTTGGGACATTTTTGGGACAATAGAAAAATAATCAACATCAGAAAGTCAGTCCTTCTTTTGTTTATCAGGCACACGTCCCGGCTTTTGGATCTGGAGAAGTCCCACCGAATTTCCTGTCTACTCTGCAATTATAGTGCGCCTGGGAGTGAACATAAGCAAAATTAAGTTGACTTTAAGTTGAAGTCATACAACACTTCCCGAAAAATAGGTTGGGACAGTTCATCCTCAATTCGGGACAACTGGAATTCATTTTGTGGACAGTGCTGGGACAATAGGAAGAAAAGTTAATTTCGAGGTCTGACAACGGTTTGTGCGCATGGTTGTTATGACAATCAGGGCCTGAAACACTTATTTCTATGCACCACACACAAACTTCACTTGCACCACTCAGCATTTAGTACCAGTGCAATAGCTCAATCGGGAAGAGTGCTCGCTTTGTAACCGGGAGGTTTTGAGTTCGAACCCCAAAGATTTTTGAAATGGTACATTGTACATACTACTTTCTCTGCTTAGCACTAAAGCAACTATGAGAAAGAGAGTGGGAAGGTCAAACACACAACATTACCAGCAGACTAGCACCCTGCTGTAGTGATTGCATAACTGTGTGGCCCAAGGGCTACAGAAATGGAGATGGGCACCACCCCTATGCTCTGCACAGAGTGGAACGGGACCTAGTACTTGATCAGCATTTAACAGAACCCACCTTTAAGTCGTACATGTTGCCTGTTCCAGTGAGTAGGTACTGACACAGCACCTGGCATGGGTCTGCACAGTCTGCATCAGGCACATGCACTACTGAGATCATACCGGCCTGAAAAACAAGGCACAATAACAGCAAGAAAATTAAAACATTCATAATATGCATTGAAGTTCTTAAAGCATGCTAATAAGCCAACAAAATTTGCATGAAATGTATACCCAAGTTAATTTTTCTAACTTTGAATATGTCAAACATCACACAATATAATTGAAATGAATTTATTTATTTATTTATGGTTTGCAAATGCGTTTTTGGTTTGCAAATCTAAAAGAATAAAGAAAAGAAACATCAAGATGAAAACATTATCTAATGGAAATTTTCATTAACTAACTGACTCAGTTTTGTGGAAGTGAATACACTCAGTCAAGTTCAAGTATTCCCAACAGCCATTTGTTTCTTACTGCTAAATTTTTACATGCAAATATCAAAGAACCAAGGAAATAACTTGTTATGGCTCAACAGCAGACAATAAAGGTCATAAACCCAGCTGACGACCAGCCTCCAGAAATGATGTCGGAAAGAATATCACAGTTTTCCTCACAGACATCTGCTTTTTTATGGCTAAATTTTTACATTAAAATATCCAAGAACCAAGGAAATGAATTGTTATTGCCCCCAAACAGTAGACAGTAAAGGTCATAAACCCAGTCTTCTGAAATGATGTCGGAAAAAATATCACAGTTTTTCACACAGACATCGTGTTACAGCAGTTTGGCACCCCGCTGGGTTCAATTGGCCTTTAATTTATCACAAGTTTGATGGCTGTGGATTAGTGCTGCATACCGGTTCACTGGACTTGGATCTGGACTTGTAAGAATGTTTAGGTTCAAGTCCAAAAAACCTAAAAGTCAAGAACCGAGTCCGGACTTATTACCATAAAAGACCATTTCACATACCCCTTTTCTTTCCAAACCACCTAAAACCTTCCATAGATTGTAAAATCTTTGCTGCAAAACGAAGAAAACATTGCCATCGGGCATTGTCAAGTACCAGCCTCCATGTTATGTGGCCAAAGTTTCACCCAGACAACATTGCAAGGTTGCCAACATGCAATTTTGTATATGCCATGGGTTTAGGTCCGGACTTACAAGTCCGGAACTGAACCTAAACCTCTGGACTTGAATCCGGACCTGAACCTAAAATTGGGTTTAGGTATGCATCACTACTGTGGATCACCTGTAGCTGGTCGTTCTGATCTGGAGTTGAAAAAGTTGTGTCCCAAACAGGGCTCTAGCCAGCTCAATTTTTTTTCTGTCAACCCAGGTTAATGATTGGACCTGGGGGGGAGGGTGCTCACAATAAAGGGGGGTCCAGGGCACAAATTTCCTAGCTTTTAAAAATGCAATTTCCCAAATTTGCAAGGCAAATCATGGGGTTGAGAGTGGTTGTTGGTGGTCTTTTGGATGTTTTCATATTTTTTCCCTTTTGTCAATTTTGTCAGTCATGGTTGATGGATTGGTTTAATTTTTTCCCTGTAACACGCCCCAAAATTCCTGCAATTGACGAAAAAAGAAGTGCTGGCTAGAGCCCTGAGCTGGTCGTTGTGAACTAGAGTTGAAAAAGTTGTGCCCCAAAGTGGAGGGGGAACCAGATATTAAGTCAGAATGACATGTCTTGAAGAGAATTGTCTTAAAGAGAATTGTCTTAAAGAGAAATGTCCTAAAGAGAATTGTTCAAACATATTATGTCATCTAAGAACTATGATGTAAATGAAAAACTATGCAAGTTTGTTCATACTTGTTTCAAAAAGAGAGAAGAGATCCTGTAGATATGGACGCAGCAAAGTAATGTATCACTTCTTCCTCCTACCCTTGTATCTCAGCTATCTAATTGAGGTACATTTGGCCCATGTATGTCATAAATATACAATAAAGATCATTGTCATTAAAAAAATAAACATAACCATTATAACCACATTTAATAAATGATTTTCATTTGCTAGAAATATCAAAATTGTCTTCAATTGCTCAAAATTAATCAAAGTCATGCTTTTTATAACCATTATAACAAAATTAACTGAATGACTTTCATTTGCCAGAAAAGTAAAAATTGTCTTCAAAAACTCAAATCTGCTGAGTGAGATTAAATGCGTAGTTACGTTTGGACTATATATAATAACGAATAACATAAAACAGCTGAATCACACGTGCCAAGCTTTCAATAAATTTTGTTGACAGCATGATAAAAGAGCAGCACCTTAATTAGGACCAGCAAAAAAGAAGTGAAATTATGAAGTAATTCAAAGTGCATGTAAGTACAAGTCAACTGCTGTGACTGAAGTCATGTTTCAGACACTTTTGGCCCCAAAAGCACTTTGATCCTCGACAGACTTAATCCAACTATTAGGAGCATGACAATGGCCTTGACCGGATCAACTCCAGAGGGTGAACACGGATATTTCCCCTGCTGCATACACACTCCAGCTGAGACTGATTCACATCCAAGTTCATTTTTCAGGAATGTTAACCTTTCTCCCCATGAATAATCTTCATCTGGTTGGCGAATGATTGAAAAGGGAAGAAGTTCTTTATTCACACACAACCACTTGTTTAACAAGAGCCGAAATTTCCAAGTAGATCCAACTTTAAACAAGCCATCTGCCAAATGTTCATACAATGTTCTGTGACTAGTATGTAGATTATGTTCCTTTCATTTGTACATAAGGCCACACCAATTTTATTTCTTGGTTAACGGATTTTTCTTGGAAAATAATGGAGCGGGCGAGCGAAAAAAAAATTAAAACAGGCCTAGGCATCCTATTATGGCCCAAAATGGTACGATAGGAGCCATGAAGTCAACACACCATGCTGGTTAAAAATTTAAACAATGAATTTTGAACTTTTAATGATACCATTGCATTGAAAGATGGAATAACTGTAACAACTAGGATGAAAAGGACTGTTTTCAAATGTTCAGGGCAAAATATGAGCATTTTGCAGTTGATTCTGAATTTTTATTTTTATTTGCAAATCAGAAAAAAAATGAAGCGGGCAAATCCGTTAACCAAGAAATTAAATTGGTGTGGCCTAAATGTGTGTTTTTACCATGTTATCTGTTGTATATATGATTTATTTCTGTATGCTTTTATTTCTGTATTACCCCTGTGGCAGGGACAACAGCAGCAGAATAATCAAATCCTGGATAGTGAGTGAGTGAGCGATGAGCCCTGGAAGATTAGTCTTTGGGGTTATCATCATCATCATCATCATTCATCCTCCGTAGAGGTGGAGCATACAAAGTTAGTTCGCCACAACTGTCTGTCATACATCACTAAGAAAAGTTCATGCCCCTCAAAGCCAGTTTCAGTTTCAATAAGTTTCTTAATTGTTATGTTTGGGCGTCCAACTCTTCTCTTACAGGTATCAGGGTTCCAGAGTAGAAGCCTACTGGCTGGTTCTTCACTACGTATTACATGACCGGCCAAGCTTAGTCGTCGACATTTGACTACTGAAGTTACATTTGGTAGCGAACCATATAACTGTTCATTAGTAGTGTGTTTCCACCATGGTGTATTGAAAACCACTCGCAACATCTTCGTGTATGTTCCGTTTAGTTCTTTTGGGTTAAAGGGTATTGAAATAAAGAGAATAAAGAGAGAAAGAGAATTTCGATGACTGGTGTCAGGAAGAGAGTTGTGTCAAGCAACAGACTGGCAGATTTTGACATGACTTTCCGCTAATATGAGGGCCAGCATGGTGAGAGTGAATACAAATTACACAAAATTTTCAACACCGACTACAAATTACGTTAAATTCTAAGAATTACATTAGGCCACACCAATTTAATTTCTTGGTTAACGGATTCGCCGCTTCATTTTTTTCTGATTTGCAAATAAAAATAAAAATTCAGAATCAACTGCAAGATGCTCATATTTTGCCCTGAACAGTTGAAAACAGTCCTTTTCTTGCTACTTGTTACTGTCATTCCATATTTCAATGCAGTGTTATCATTAAAAGTTCAAAATTCATTGTTTAAATTTTGAACCAGCCTGGTGTGTTGACTGCATGTCTCCTATCGTAACCATTTTGGGCAATAATAGGATGCCTAGACCTGTTTTTATTTTTTTTTTGCCCGCGCGCTCCATTATTTTTCTAGTAAAATCCGTTAACCAAGAAATTAAATTGGTATGGCCTTAAATCAATCTAAAATCTATCCAGCTGCTTGAGTAATAGTTAGTTTGGTACTCCATCCTTACTTACAATGGACATGTCTGCAGCAGTCTCCTGTCTCTTCAGCACCAGAACTACAGGGTACACAGACCTGGGGGAGCGACCAAACCTCTTCCCCTCCTCCTCCTGCTGCCCGGACAGAAGCAAGTGCTCCACGTGGTTCTCACATGGAGGAATCCTGTCAGACTCCAGTTAAGGCAAAAAAGATAATAATAATAGTAGTTTATTGACAACACTGGCTCCAGGTACATGGCAGGTATAAAATCGCTGAATTACGTACTCAGGATTTAAAAACAGATTAAACAATAAGGTCAGCTAAACAAACAAAGGACATTGACAAACTAGGTACAAACATAAATGAATACTAGCTGTACACAGTTATAAATAAATATAGATCAGAAGTATCTACAAATAGATTAAAAACTATAAATGTCCGGTACTGGGAGATTTCAACCTGTTTGTTTTTTTAACAAATCAGTGAAATGGGGGATATGACTCGTTAGTCGATTGGACTAGATAAGGCAGGTAACCTGAGACTGGGGACGAACCATACTGATTTTTCATTAGCTACCGGGGTAATACAGTCAAACCTAGTTGTGAGTTTGTGACCACTTCTACATAATGACCACCTATTCGGTTCGGTGTAATATAGCTAGCTGCCCCCACGCCAAGTGCCTGCGAAGCTGGTGTGTTACGCTGAAGGGCGGTTATACCGGCTATACAGATACAGAAGCTGGTGTGTTATGCCAAAGGGCCGTTATACCGGCTATACAGATACAAAAGCTGGTGTGTTATGCCAAAGGGTGGCTATACCAGTTATACAGATACAGAAGCTGGTGTGTTACGCCAAAGGGTGGTTTTACCGATTATACAGATACAGGAGCTGGTGTGTTATGCTGAGGGGCGGTTATACTGGTCTTGTCACATGGCTTCTTTGAAGTGTTAAACTTAAAGACCAGAGTGTACTGAGAGAACTTTATTGTGTTGGATCAAAAGTTTAAACTTCAAACATGTAACTACCAACACAGATGAACTTTCATGAAAGGATACATGATGTCCTCCTCCTTCTTGAAACAGATGTCCTTTATCTTGTCCTGCTGGGAGGACGGGAGAAGTCCCGGCGTCTGGTCCTGAAGAAGCTCGTGGAAGGATGAGATATGGACTCCCCAGTAATGGCTTAACACTGCAGGGACTTTACTGGTTAACTGCACTGACAGACCATCTGTATAAAAAAACATATATCATAAGGAAGTTATTGTTTATGTTCTAAAAGTTTTGGTTTTCTACTTGAGTTGAAATTATCGAGATACCATTCAGCCCCTAATGGGGATAAATTTCAGTAAAAGGACTCAGTAACAATAAAAAGGCAGATACAAATACATAAAACATAAAACAATGTTTTTATAACCTGGGTACTATCCTGGTTAGTTTATGTCCACTCCAATATGGCAGCGACTATCAGAGTGGACGTAAACTACAGATAACCGGGATGGTATCCACTTTTCATGATTTCTGTGCTGAAACAACATTTTAACAAACAATGTCAAAAGTACAAATACATGTATATAGTTAATAACTTATCATCATTTATAGTACAGAAAAGAACTCTGCAGCAGACCTGAGTCAGCTTACAGATGTGCCCTATGTGGCAGAGACTGTCATTCTTGTATAGTACTGTTCGGCCAAAAAGCCAAAGCTATTAGAATTTTACAATGATCAATGGGGGCCATATATTACTTTGTTTTATCTGCAAAAGTAATAGCATTGGAATTTCCTGCTCCACACAAGTGTGTTGTCTTAGGCCACACAGACTTAATTTTATGGATGACATCCGCGCGCATTGATTTTCGTCTGTTCTAAGCAAAAAACAAACAAAAAAAGATCACGTCATCCGAGGGCTCTGGCCTGGATAGTCCATGGTAGCTTGCTATATAGCGACAGTACGGAGCCGGTAGTAACTCTGGAGGATGGCACCCAGGCTACCAAAGTTCCACGACTCAAGACCTCAGTACATACGTACAGTGTCGATTCATAAATCCGCAAAAAGCCAGCATGTGCCGGCCTGTCGTATATGTTGCTATGTTCTGCCGTAAATTCACAATACCAGCTTTGCCTCTGTATTCCTCTGTTTTACTTTTAGTAGCATTTTTATTTTTGGTCGGATTTTTATTTTATTTGCCCGCGCACACTAGTTTGGGGGTCTTCAGAGGATGTCATCCATAAAATAAAGTCGGTGTGGCCTTATTTAAGTTTGATGAATGACATAGACATAGATATACTGTCTTTTGGATTGGAAGTACATGTAAAAGAGTTGAAGAACCAGACCTGAGACAGAAGCCTGTTGAGGGCGGTGCACCTCTAGTACAAAAGGGTTGGAGACTGACTGCATCCGGACCACAGGGATGTTCTGCCCTGTCTGGTGGACGATACTGGTGTCATGCTGGAGCCTGGAGCAGAGATGTTAGCATCAGTCAGTCAAAGTCTCGATTACTTCTAGTAGTGTCTACCAGACTAACTACGCTGGCTATATATAGGAGAATATTTGCCAGGGGAGTTTGGCCACCTTGGGGTTTGACTGGCTGGAGGGAAAGAAACAACCTTCCGCGGCTTTAATTTATCCCCTGGCCAATTTTACTCTCCTTTGCCAAATTGTACGATCCATATTCCCGTAGAAAGGCCTGGTGGGGGAAGTCTCGATAGCTTGTTAGGCCATGTGGCAACTTTTTAACAAGCTGACAGTGTAAACCATGAATTCAAAACTAGACTGATGATCATTGGGAGGGACCCAAGTATGTGGTGTGATTGGGTAAAGAGGGCCTGCAAGCCCTTTTTCGTAAGGCGTAATCTGGCCGTTTTAGACTTCGTAATTCGTAGGCAGCCTCCGCAAAAATCAACGTCATTCGTAATAGGACATTAGCCGCAAATCGTAAAGTCGTAATCAGCTCTGAGACTTTAACGTAATTCGTAATAGACGGCGAAAATTTTGCGTAATTCGTAATCACTACCCCCCCTTGCAGGCCCTCGGTAAAGACTGTCCTGTACTGCGTATCGAGGTATCAAGGCTAGCCATGGCAACTGTTGTCGCTTCTCTTACTTTTGTATGAGAGGTATGCTTCAGAAAGCTTCCATATACAGAGCTATTGCAGAATGAAACACCCTGCTGCATAAGATACAAATGATGTCATCACACAGGAATTTCAAGCAAGGACTAGTGCTAAATGCTAATACTAAAGCACATATGATGATACACATACGTCTTGTTATTCGGAATTTATGTATGTAATGTAATTTTTTGTTTATCAAGCTGTACGTCAATGTAATCCTATGTCTTGTATGTCTTTGTGCACTCTCCTGGAGGACTAGCTGTCACTCAGTCATAGGTAGACAGCTAAAGGAGAACGGGATACTAGTACATCATACACTGTAACGTTACATGTGTATACGGTATAGGTATCCATACTTGGAGGGACAGTTTACAGTGTTGCGGAAAAGAATGAGATGGCTGGTTGGTGGTAAAGTATCAAGAGTTTCTCTTATCATCTCAGAGTGAACATTGCTTGACTAAAACCACAACCGAAGGATCGAACCCAGCAAATTCGTCTGCGACATAATTTTTCGACTGCCCCTCCCCCTCGCTACCACCCCTTTCATACCCCGGTTTCTTTCACCTAACACAAAACGCAGCGACCATAAAACGATTTTAGACTTCGCCAAGCACCTCCCTTACCTTATGATGAACACCACCATAGAAATAAACGTGAAAACGACGGACAGAATCGAAAAAATCGTCGAAACTTCGAAAACTGGCTCCAGCAGGACCGCCATATTGGTAGCACGGAACGGGCATGCGCGAACTCGAGTTAGGCAAGTTAATCAGTAGTTAGCTGGTTAGGCGAATCCATTCACGGAATAAGGGGTGTGCTACTCTCCAAGCAGAGGTTTGGGTTTTGGGTTATTTTTGGTGTGCTTTTAGACTTTTTTTTATTGGGGTTTCTTTTTTGCACTGCAATTTTTCTTTCGCCCAACCCAAGAAAAATTCCAGTACAAAAAAGAAACCCGGATTAAAAAAAGTCTAAAACACACCAAATTATAATAACCCATACCCCAAACCTCTGCTTGGAGAGTAGGTGTGTGCACCGGTTTTCGGGACTACACGAATGGTTTGAATTTCACGGTCTTCGGGGGAGCCGTTGAACTATCTTTCATCGGCTACTGTAAATTCGCCTAATCCCGTCGTCCAATTGATTTTAGTGGGGATCTGGTTAAAGCCGGAGCGTACAAAAGAGACAAGCAGGCCCCAACAGTGACGCGTCTGTGCCTGGTGTTAAGTAATGATGGCGCGTCGCAAACGTTGTGACAGAGGTGGTCCCTCTAACTGTTCTGCAAACGCACACAGGTGTGTGTCAGGCAAACAAATCAGTCTGTTAAATCCACATGTTCTGTACCAGCTCTGGAACAGTCTACCCAGACACATCACCGACTCTCCCACACTCAGTCAATTCAAGGCTCACTGCAGAAACCACCTTTGGTCATGGTTCTTCTTTTAAACTTGCACTCATATCTAACTTTTCTCCAAAGCCTTCCATTCATCCCAATTTAGTATCTCCACTCTTTGCACATATTGCTGCTAGTTAGGAATGTCTTGATTTTCTTATATTATGTATTATAGTATTGTACCTTGTAACCAGTTAATATGTTATCCTTATTTCAGGTCTTGTACTTATAGTAGATGTCTTATTTCATGTTTGTCTCCACGTTTGTATATGTGGGTTATCTAATACCAGTTAACACTGCCTTGATAACCTTGTCATTGCAAAGAAAGAAAGAAAGAAAGAAAGAAAGAAAGAAAGAAAGAAAGAAAGAAAGAAAGAAAGAAAGAAAGAAAGAAAGAAAGAAAGAAAGAAAGAATTTTCGCTCTGTTTTCCCAGTATAAATCTAAGAATGTGACAGACGTTTCAAATAGCACCCGCTACTGTTCATAAGTGACCCCTTGTTTTCAAAATCTATCTTGTGTATCTCATTACCTGGATGTAATAGCAGCTTTATTTCCTAAGGTATCATTGTTTTAAAAAGTGCTTTAGTGTCTGTTTTAGTATGAAGGGCACGTTGGGACAGAAAGCCTACTTACACGTCTACTTAGTACATGTAATCCATTTTGTCCAAACAAGATTGAAAATGAGCACCATTTTATAATGGATTGTACACTCTACAATGATAAGCGCCTATTGCTGTTCACCTTTCTTTCCGCTTGTTCAATTGATTTCAATACGTTTGAACCTAAACTACATTCTCAGGGGAGATAACCAATACAGTGTTCAAATAGGAAAATACATTAAGGAATGTTTCGATCTTAGAGAACACATGTTAGAGAATAGTTAACCTTTATTGTTACATCATACATATATTCTGTACGTAGGATGACGTTATCCACACATGTATTTAGCTTTGTTAGATCTTTAGTTAAGTTGTAGAAGACCATACTGTACAAAAGTCTCTGTACTTTTTTGTTGTGTCAATAAAGAATCTGCCTGTAATTATAACGCCTGTTTACACATTTCTTTAGAAAGAGTTTCGTGTAAAACAATTTCACGTCCGAAATTATGATATATGTGACGTTATGATATAACTGCTTTATGTGAACGGGAACGTCACAACCACGCGACAGTAGAGCACTCACTGTTGTCATTAAGTTTGCCATTATTTTTAATATCTAACCCAGACTATGTCGTCAAACTCTAAACGTTTCCAACAAAGATGTAGACGTTTCAACTAGGTCTTTCAAACGTCTTGTAAAATACCTTTATTTTTCATTGTAAAAGTGGCTGCGAGAATATACATGTAAAGTTGGGCCTAACTTGAGTTCGCAGTCACTTGGTCGTGTCCTTTCATTTTTTCATTTTCATTTATTATTGTTTTTTTGAATAAAAAAAATGTAGACGTCTGCCGCCCGCCCGTCCATCGTAGCCCAACCTGTGACAGTTCTATCCTAATCACCGGTCCAAGGCGTTCGTTCTCATTTGGGAATTAGGAATTTAGGAATTGTGGATGATACTAAAACTGTTCAGAAACCATTGCCATTGTTTATTTTATACTTTTACCACATAGGTGGTAACAGTCAATGCAGCAAATAAAAATCCACATACACCTACATGTACAATGTATATGTTGACCAAGTACACGGACCAGCGCAGATTTATAGGTGATATACGTGTACAGCTCCAATTTTATCTGCACTAAGGTGTACATGCATCCAGTATTTTGAGCCCTGGATAGCCATGGCAACTCTTGCAGGGCTTCTCTTACTTATATATATTTTTATATATATGCGGGGTATGCTTTTGACCGCCCGTCCATTGCAGCTCAACCCTAATCTCCAAGCAGATCTTTTGGTGGGGGTAAGACAGTATCAAATTGGCCAGTCTGTATCCATTTCCAAGGGTGGGGAAATGGATACAGACTGGCCAATTTGATACTGTCTTATCCCACCAAAAGATCTGCTTGGAGATTAGCTCAACCCAACCTGTGACAGTTCTATCCTAATCACCGGTGCCGTGTTCTTCCCATGTCCCTCCCTGCCATGTAGAACCAATGCGTTCGTTCCCGCCTGTTCTGCAAAGCAGAGTAATAGCTGTCCCCGGGCCTCTGACCTCAACCCCGACCGCCTGTCCCGGGGGTGGGGTGGGAAACCGGCCCGTTCCCACATCCAGTGCAGTTTTCAGGGCTTGGAAACCAGATTTTTTCAAAGTCGATATTCTAGCCACTCATCTACACACTAAGTTGAAACAGCACTGTCCCAGTGTGTATCGACATTCGTGGAGCAAATATGCCCCAAATTCTGACGGAAAACAGTTGCATGCTGCCATGCAAGGACCTGGGTTGATTTTTTAGGGTACCACCCAGGACTAATCTTGGGGCTTGTTTCTGCAGTTGTAAATGCCTATAGTACGAAATGCTGATTCAAATGTGCTAATGACGGACAGAATGTGTCAATAATAAATAATAGCGAGCGAAATATTATTTTTAACTGTATTCAAAATAAGTTTCCTAGTTTTAAATATTTGAATAGTTTAGACAAATTTATATATCTTATGAAATTAGACAAGCCGTGTTTTGTAAGTTCTATATGTTCATTCATCTACAATTGTTTTAAGAAGCGAGAAGTCGATCCTGTAAACAATAGTATTATTTAGTTTGTCTTCATGACCTGTACTTAGCTCGAAAGAGCATAAATGTGCAATAAAGGTATTTCATTCAATATCACACAGATTGTCTTATTCAGAATATACGTATTTCCAGTTTTTCTGACGATTCCTCGGTTGATCGCCGGTTTCCGTGCCCACAGTTTCTCACGGCCAGGCCCTGCAGCACGGAAACCGCAGAACCAGATGGCTGTCAGGCACCTGAAATACTTATTCCAATGTGCTAATGTGGGACAGAATGTGTCAATATCATACAGATTGCCTTATTCAGAATACATGTATTTCCAGTTTTTCTGATAATTTGAGTTTGAGTTTTATTTAGGTCCACAATGAGAGGCTATTCTTGCTGTGGTCTACACATTACATTCATATATACATATACATGCATGTGTTACAATTGTCTTGAAGAGAAACGTACAAAAGACATTACAAAGTCAACGGTATGGAGCAAAAATAACACCATTTACAGTCCAATACTTTGCTAGTTTCCGTGGCCACACTAGTTTCTCACGGCCAGGCCCTGCAGCACGGAAACCGCAGAACCAGATGGTTGTCAGGCACCTGCTCGGGGACCCGCGGGGTCCTGGCCTCGCTCCGTGACGATTCTTCAGCCGCAGCCGCCGCACTGACAGCCCGGGATACCGGATGGTTCTGGCCCGCAGTACTGCAGCAAACTTTCAACCCTTTATATCCTCTGTGTCAAGTTGAATGCGCTCTCAGTACTAGTTTTGATCGTTCGGTGTAATGTAGCTAGCTGCCGCCGCGCCGTGTGCCTGCGAATCTGCTGTGTTACGCCGAAGGGCGGTTATACCGGCTATACAGATACAGAAGCTGGTGTGTTACGCCGAAGGGCGGTTATACCGGCTACACAGATACAGAAGCTGGTGTGTTATGCCGAAGGGCGGTTATACCGGCTATACAGATACAGAAGCTGGTGTGTTACGCCGGAGGGCGGTTATACCGGCTATACAGATACAGATACAGAAGCTGAATATGCTTTCAGTTTATTTATTTTTTATTTACTTATATATCATAGGTCAACACAAAACAAGGCTCATGGGAGCCACTCAAAATGTTTTGGGTTACAGTACAGCCAGTGAGGACAGATGTTTATTGACCTTAGACTTGAAGAGCTTAAGGTTATATTCATAAGGGAAGCAATCACGAGGTAGCTTATTCCAAAGTGATGTTGTTCTTCGAAAGAAGTTTTCAGTGTGGAACTCCCTACTAAGAGGTGGTGAATGGAGGAAGAAAGGGTGATTTGCTTCGGTGGAAGTGGCAAGTCTTAATGCCCACGATCATGATAATGATCATTCTGTCATACTCATTTTCACCTCAGCGAAGTGAGGAAAGTCGGGTAAAGTGCCTTTCCCAGGTTGGTGACATGGCAGGATTCGAACTCGGGACCTTTTGGTTCTGAGCCGAATGCTCTGCCGTTACACACTGCACGCAACCACAACGGTCTCTACCAGACAGACTAACTACACTGGCTATGTTACATTTCTTCAAATAAACGTCAAATACATACAACAAAAACACACTGGCTATGCAGGAGAATATTTGCCAGGGGAGTTTGGCCGCCTTGGGGTGTCGGACTGGCCTCGAAAGAACCAAACTTCCGCGGACTGACT